GGGGCTTTAAAAGGCGGGGCCTGGCGAGCGGAACTGCGGAGCGCCGCGGCAAGGCGCCCCCGGGAGGCTGAACAGGGTGCACCCGGAAGTGTCTCAAGCAGGCAGACGCCGCGCCACCCAGGCCTCTTCGCTATGGGCCGCAACAAGAAGAAGAAGCGAGATGGCGACGACCGGCGGCCCCGGCTCGTTCTCAGCTTCGACGAGGAGAAGCGCCGGTGAGTGCCAGGGCTGGACCAGATCCCCTTCAGGCCGCGGGGCACGGCCAGGGCCAGGTCCGGCGGCGCACGCTCACGCGGAGGGCCCTTCCGGCCCCGCCTCCTGTACCGCGGCCCAGGCCCTCGTCCCTCGGCCCCACCCCCTAAACCGCGGCCCCGCCCCCTAGACCGGCCCCGCCCCTCGGCCCCCGGGGAGAGGACTCGTCCCCCGCCTCGCCTCGCTCTTCCCGACGACCCGGCTGCCCCACACCGGCTGTGTGTGGCCCGGGAGCCGGAGCGCGGGTCTGAGCAATGGCTTCTACCTCCCCAGCCCGGCCCAGCCCGGCGGCCCCGCACACGGTAGACTCCCAGCGGTTGTTGCTGGATGGTGAATGAATGAAAGGAGTGGCTTCAGTTCATCTGTTCATTCCCCAGACGTTTACTAAGCTCCTTCGGTTTGTGTGCCGACCTCGGGACCCCGAGCTGGACCCCTAAACCTCAGCGTCCGGTCGATCAGATAGACCCAGAATGCCATCTTGGCCTATGGTCCTGGCTCAGCGAAAAGCCTAGTGTTGGGCCCTGGCACAGACAGGAATGGTGCAGCCGGCACTAGAGAGATGAGAAGGGGCTGGGATCAGATGGGGGAGGGAGGGAAATGCTGCGTCATCATCAGGAACTCAGCGTGGCGTCAACAGGCACTACAGGGGGTCCTGGGGGCAGGGTCCTGGGGAAATGGGGTGTTGGCCCAGTGGAGGGTTTGCAGAGGTCTGGGTGAGGGTGGCCTTGACAGCCTCACTGGAGTGGCTTGATTCAGTGGTAATGGAGTTTGCCAGCATAGAAGGGACCCCCACCTGTTCTGAGTTCACAGGCCCACAACCTGTGCCCACCACCTGGCCCTGTTGCCTGAAGCTGAGAGCCCTGGAGGGTAGTGAGTGGAAAGAGGCAGCATCTCCCTCTTTTTCCTAACCTTACACTGTCTGTGACCTTGGGCACGTAACCTTGCCTCTCTGTGTCCCAGTGTCCCCTTCTGTAAAACAGGGATTGGTACCTGCTCCACGTGAAGATGACATGAGTAACACTGTACACTTTTGACATGTACATGACATTAACATGACATGTACACTTTTGAAATGGTGCCTGCACCTAGTGAGTGCAGTGTTAGCTGTGTTTCTCCTCCTGGAGCGTGCCCTTCTTTCCTTGCATCCCCTCCTGACCCTCCCCTGACTCTTCTTTGCGTCTTCCCCTTAGGGAGTACCTGACAGGCTTCCACAAGCGAAAGGTGGAGCGGAAGAAGACAGCCATTGAGGAGATCAAGCAGCGGCTCAAGGAGGAGCAGAAGAAGCTCCGGGAGGAGGTGCAGAGGGGGAGGACGGGAGAGAGTCTCTGACTCCCCGGGGACTTGCAGCCTGGGATGGCCTAATAGTGGCATCTGCAGGGATGAAGGGAGGTGTGGGCAGGCCTGGGGAGCAGTTTGTACCCGTAGAGACACCGTGGGCCTAGGGCTGGGGAAGGTTTAGGGTGAAATCTGGTCTCACTCCTAGCCATGGTCTCACCCCGGAGGTGAACAGTGCTCCCGCCTGAGGCTGGCTGAAATCATACTCACCCTGTCCCCTCCCTTTTGGGTTTCAGCGCCACCAGGAGTACCTGAAGATGCTGGCGGAGAGAGAGGAGGCGCTGGGTGAGTCCCGTCCTTGGTCTGACCTGGAGAAAAGCCAGCAGGCCTGGGTTTACTTATTCCTTGGTGGGTGGGAGGGGTGTGGGGGCTGCACAGAAGCTGACTTCCCCAGCTCTACGAGACTTGGTGACCTGGAGGCCAGGGGTGGTCCTCAGGTACCTCTAACTGTGAGTGATCAGAGACTAGGAGGAGACCCAAACCTCTTGGTAAACGGATCCTGAGCAGAAAGCCCAGTTTCTGAGGCCCGGAGGGACTAGGGGTAGAGGGGAAGGGGCGGCAGCAGCTCCTGGTGTCACATGGGTTTTGTCCTAGGTGGGGACCAGGTGGCCCGAGGTCTCCCTGGAGCATGAAAGGAGGAATTGGATCATTTAGACTGTTTGTCTGCAGGCCAGGATCTGGGGCCAGTGACTTCCTGGGCCTCTGCTGTAGAGTAGAGGGGCCATGGCACTCCAGGGCCGGGAGGGGGCTGGAGCCTGGTCCCTTGTGCCCTGGGGCTGAGGCCTGGCTCTGTGCCCACCCCACACAGAGGAGGCAGACGAACTGGACCGGCTGGTGACAGCAAAGACGGAGTCGGTGCAGTACGACCACCCCAACCACACGGTCACCGTGACCACCATCAGCGACCTGGACCTCTCGGGGGCCCGGCTGCTCGGACTGCCCCCGCCCGAGGTGGGTCTCCCTCCCAGCCCTGGGGAAGAAGGGGCACGGGCAGACTGGCTTGTCAGGGTGTTGCTAAGTGCTGGTGCATGTCGTGGGGCTTCCAGTGCAAGGGGCCCTTTCCCTTCTGGGCACCCTTCAGGGTGTGGCCAGTCCCTGAGCCCTGGGCCTTCCGAGTCCAGCTCCACCGCTCAGCGGCTGTGGGAGTGCGGGCAGGTTTCTTTTTTTTTTTCTTTAATTTTTTGTTTATTGAGGTAACAGTGGTTTATAACACTGTATAAATTTCAGGTGTACGTCATTACGTTTCGACTTCTGTATAGACTACGTGATGTTCACCACCCAAAGTCTAGTTGCCGTCTATCACTGTACATATGTGCCCCTTTACCCTTTCGCCCTCCCTCCACCCCCTTCTCCTCTCGTAACCAATCTATTCTCTGTGTCTATGTGTTTGTTTGTTGTTGTTTTATCTTCTGTACATGAGTGAAGTCGTATGGTATTTGGCCTTCTCCATTTGACTTGTTTCACTAAGCACAATGTTCTCAGGTCCATCCATATTCCTGCAAATGGCAAGACTTCATCTTTTTTATGGCTGAGTAGTAATCCATTGTGTATATACCACATTTTCTTCATCCATCCGTCCATCAGTAGATCCTTAGGTTATTTCCAAATCTTGGCTATTGTGAATAATGCTGCAGTGAATGAACATGGGGGTGTATGTATCTTTTCAAATTAGTGTTTTCATTTTCTTTGGATAAATACCCAGAAGCAGAATAGCTGGATTGTGTGGTAATTCTATTTTTAATTTTTTGAGGAATCTCCATACTGTCTTCCACAGTGGCTGCACCAGTTTGCACTCCCACCGGCAGCGTATGAGGATTCCCTTTTCTCCACATCCTCTCCAACACTTGCTATTTCTTGTCTTTTTATTTTTTTATTTTTTATTTTTTTTAAAGATTTTATTTATTCATTTTTTTCCCCCCAAAGCCCCAGTAGATAGTTGTATGTCATAGGTTCACATCCTTCTAGTTGCTGTACGTGGGACTCGGCCTCGCGTTGGACGGAGAAGTGGTGCCTCGGGGCGCTCCCGGGATCCGAACCCGGGCCGCCAGCATCAGAGCGCGCGCACTTAACCGCTAAGCCACGGAGCCGGCCCTCTTGTCTTTTTAATAGCAGCCGTCCTGATGGGCATGAGGTGATATCTCATGGTTTTGGTTTGTATTTTTGGGCAGGTTTTTTTTACCTTGTCTGCTTCCCTTCATCAGTAAATTGAGGTCGCTGATGAGAGCAACTGCCTTGTGGGGTTGCTGTGAGGGTAAAAGTAGTTAATCCACTCTCGTGGATTAACTTAGGAGAGCTGTTTTCTGTGATCACTCCCGTTGCGTGATACACGGCAGTAACACGGCGCGTCTGTGTGCACTGACAGTTTCCTCCAGGCCTGGGGGGGCGGGTCATGTCCTGACTTGACAGGGTCGTGATTGCTCAGGGCGCCCAGCCCAGGCCTCTCAATCCACTGCCGTCTGTGACAGTCTTGGCCTGTGCTTTTTTAGCAAGGGGCTGGGCACGGGTCCGAGGAGGAGGCGCCATCCGTGGAGAAGCCCACCAGAGCCTTACCCAGGAAGTCCAGAGACCCCCTGCTGTCCCAGCGGTGAGCCCGCCCTGTCATCCCCTATGAGCCTGCTCCTCGTGGCTGGCCTTGGTGAATGGCCTACAGAGTCACTTCCTGCTGGCCTGTGGGGGGCGGTGTGGGGCCCAGAGCAGCCCTCTGCTCTGCTTGTCAAGTGGTCCTCAGTCCCTCCTCACTGCCTCCTGCCTCCACCCCTGGGAATGTTCGACCCTGGGTGCCCTTAGTGTCTGGGGTAAGGGCCTTTCTCTGTGAGCTGAGGAGCTGGCAGGCCCTGTGGGTCAGAGCAGGCTGCCTGTGGAATGGTTTGGTACTCCCAGCATTCGGGGCATGTCCTGACTTCCCCTCCCAGAGCTGGGCCATCAGTCACTCCCTACCCAGCCTTCCACCCGTGCCCTGTTGCCCGGGGAAAACCGAGGTGCTAGCCTCACCAGCCTTCCACCCTCCCACAGGATCTCCTCTCTCACGGCATCGCTGCATGCGCACAGTCGCAAGAAGGTCAAGAGGAAGCGTCCCCGACGGGCCCAGGACTCCGCCAAGAAGCCCCTGAGTGCCACTCGTACCAGCAAGACCCAGCGCCGCCGGCTGACTGGCAAAGCCCGGACTGGTGGGGAGTGAGCCCCGAGAACCGGGCTGGGCCCCAGCCGAGGCTGCAGGGACCTGTCCTGTCTCAGCTTGGCTGTCCCCACAGTCCAGCCTGCACCGTGCTGGTGACTCCACAGCCCAGGGTTGGGAGGCCAGCACCTCCCTCTCTGGCCTGGCGCTTGGACCCAGAAGGAGCAGGCAGCTGAGAGCTGGCCTCCCCCAGGAGGAGCCTTCAGGACCAAGTTGGGGCATCTTTCCAAATGTATCCCACGGGGCCTTCATCAGATTTGTGAAACTAAGTGCCCTTGTGGTTTGTTTGTCCCCAGCCGTGATGCCCCGCGCTAAGGGCAGGCCTCTGGGGTGGTGGGAACGGTCAGGGAGTGGGTCCCTCCTCACTCTCCAGCAGCTCTCCCTGTGGGTACAAAAAGGTAGTGTCAGGTCTGGGCCCCCTAACCAGGGCTGGAGACCAGGGTAACCACTGGTAGAAGCTGGAGTCCGCCTGCTGCTCTGAAAGGCGGGCAGCGGGGCCAGGTGAGCCTGGCTCTGCCCTGCACTGGCTGAGACTTTGGGCCTGTCCCTTCCCCTTGGCCTCGTTGGTCTCCCAGCTGAAATCAGAGTGATGGGAGTAGATGAGTCCTGGAACATTCCCCACCCCCAGACTTGGGCAGCTTCCCCAGGCTTCCAGCAGCTCCCTGAGAGAGCCCACCAAGGGAGGAGTGAGTGATTAATCCTTTTTAAAGAAAATGCGTCTCAACTCGCCTGAAAGTGTGGTCCTTTGAGAGCAGACCCCTCAGGAGGCCAGCTGGTGTAAGAGCTGCCGTTTCTTCCTGCTCCTTCCAGATGGATCTTCAGGTGCAGCTTCAGAGCCGATGGAAACCAGCCTTGTTCCTTCCCTGTCCCAGCTTGTGAGTGACCCGCCTCACTCACACACCCCGCTGTTCCCCTGACCGAGCAGGGCTGTTGGCAGAATCCGGGTCCACCTGCGGCAGGGACACGAGTGGCGTGAGGACAAGCAGAGCACCTGTTCTGGGGCATTCAGACCCCTCTTGCCACTTACTGGTTCCTCTGATTCTGGGCCGGAGCACTGCAGTTTCGGGTTGTGCCCTGGTTAGGGGAGCTGTGTTGGGCCCTAACACTGGGACTGCAGAGGGTAATAACATGCTCTCAGCCCTGGTGAGGCTCACGGACTAGTGAGAGAGGGTCAGGGTGATGGGAGCGTGTGTGGGTGACGGGAGCGCATGTGATGGGAGTGCACAGCAGGTGCTGCCCAGCCCTGGACGTTGGACGTTGGAGGCCCCTGAGGAGAGGGAGCAGGGAGCTGGGGTCGGCAGGGCAGCCTTCCCCTCCGCTCACCCCAGCAAGGGCCTTCCGGGCGCAGCCCAGCCTGCCATTGGATGGGCACTCTTCCAGGTCACCACCCAAACCTGCCATATGGTGATATCTGGTGATAGCTGGTGGGGTCAGAGGGCCACACCTGGGCGTGGGAACATGAAGCCCAGGGCTTGTGGCTGGGAGGCCCGGTGACCTGGCTTCTCAGCTCCTTCCACCTGCTGCCTTTCTGTTGGCCTCCCCTGTGCTCGGGGTGGGGTGCCTCGTCCCACTGGGCTGCCTCCATCCTGGGAAGAGGGTGGGGCCTGTTCCTGCGCTCTCCTGGTGGTTCTGCTTCTCAGCCCAGGGCAGCGAGCGGGAGCCTTACAGCAGGCCCCTGTGAGCAGAACAGAGCTGGACCCGGGGATTCGTGCACACGGCAGGGCTCGGGGTGAACGTGGCTCTGCCACGTGGCCACGGGTGAGCTCCTTGCTGTGCTGACCTCTCTGGGTCTGTTTCCCCATGTGTAAGACAACGTAAGACAATGGCCTCTTAGGGCTGCCCCGCGGCTGAAATGAGACCATGCGCACGAAGCCCTTCCCGTGGCACCTGGCCTTCCCCGGGTACGCCTTCTGTGTTTATTTGCAGCTGCTGCTGTCTGCTGAGACATCTGATCCGGGTCTCTTCTCCCATCCCCGGTGACATGGGGTCGTTTACAACTTACATCTACAATTTGTAATGATAACTAGTATTAAATTCTCATCCGCTCTCTGCTGTGTTTTCCCTCAATTCTTCCAGCAGACCAAGGGCCTTGAGTCACAGTGACTTGTGCCAATCCTAGGATCAGGAGTGGAGGGATAGAACCCTCTGGAGAACTTGTCTTTTCTCCCCGGAACCCCTCTCTCCATGCTCCACACTGGATTCTTTCCTGCTGCTGCTCCCCATCCTGTGGGCCCTTGGGGTTGGGGCCTCTAGGAGCTTTATCAAGAAGGATTAGGTTTAGCTGCATATAATGTAAAACTAAATTTTAAAATAACTGGCTTATATAAGAGAGGAGTTAACAAAGATGGGAGATAGCCTGGGGCTGGGGGGCTGGGAGGCTCGGATGGTAGGCTTTTAGCTTTTTGTGTTGTACCATTTTCAACACACGGCTTCTACCTCATGGTCCAAGGTGGCTGCTTGAGCTTCAGCCATCACATCTGCCTTTCAGCCGGCAGGAAGGAGGAAGCGATGAAGAACATGCCTCTCCTTTTACTTTTAAGAACACTTGACTCTTGTCACGTGCCGTTGGTTGGGCAGAAGGCAAAGGCGTGGGGCAGGAGGAACGGAGCTCCCAGCGGCAGGGAAGACTGGGGACTGTGGTCTATTCTGGAGAACCCTGTGCCCAGATCAGAATTGGGGATTGTGTGAGTAACTGAGGGGAGAGTTGGTATTGGGGTGCAAGCAGCAGATTCTCCCGCAGAAGCCGAATGTGTAAGGGCCCTCAGGAGGAGCCACAGGAGCTCCCGCTGTGAGGGACTGAAGCCGTAGCAGAGGCTCATCGGGTCCTCAGTCACCGCGTGGACTGCCCCCATGGGTCAGGCCCTGTGCTGGTCCAATGGTCCCCCCTCATCCGCGGTTTCGCTTTCTACAGTTTCGGTTACCTGAGGTCAACTGCAGTCCAAAAATAATGCTACGTTGTGCACCCCACTTCGTCTCCTCACAAGATGTATCATATATCGTATCATTGTGTGGCTTTGTAGCATCTCACCTCGTCACAAGAAGGGTGAGGACAGTACCGTAGGATATTATCAGAGAGAGACACCACATTCACATAACTTTCATTATAGTATATTGTTATAATTGTTCTATTTTATTGTTAATCTCTTACTGAGCCTAATTTATACATTGAACTTTGTCATAGGTATATGTGTGTGTAGGGAAAAACATAGTCTATGTAGGGTTCCATTCTATCCGTGATTTCAGGTGTCCACTGGGGGTCTTGGAACGTATCCTCCGTGGATAAGGGGAGACTACTGTACAGCAAGGAGCAGTGGCTGTGGTTACCAGGAGCCAGGCCTCAGCCCAGTAGAGGAGAGAACTCTCCCAGTAGGATCTCTTTGGGGTGGCCTGAGGTCTCCCCGGGGGATGAGGCGAGCAGGCCGGTGGAGCTGCACGCCTGGGTCAGGAACGGCGGAGGAGAGGGTTCCGATGTCAGGGAAGCCGCAGCTTCTATCCTTTCCAAGGTCCTGTCAACCTCAGAGGGCTTGAAGCCCCCAGGTTTGAGCGGTTGACCTTCCTTTAACTGTGCAGACGGCTCTGGCGAGGGGTTCCTGATTCATCGGGAGCTTGGAGAGCTCACTGTCTGTTCCGTTGTGAGCCGGTTGATCATTAGAAAAGCCTTCCTGGGCCGGCCCTGTGGCTTGGTGGTTAAGTGCGCGCGCTGCAATGCTGGTGGCCCGGGTTCGGATCCCGGGTGTGCATCGAGGCACCACTTCTCCGTCCATCCTGAGGCCGCGTCCCACATACAGCAACTAGAAGGATGTGCAGCTATGACATACAACTATCTACTGGGGCTTTGGGGGGAAAAATTAAGTAAATAAAATCTTTAAAAAAAAAAAAAAAAGAAAAGCCTTCCTTGTTCTGAGCTAACATCTGCTTCCCCGTAGGCGCCCTGTAGATGTTTGCGAGCTGCTCTCACAGCCTTTCCCACTCTCCTCGACTTTGAGCCACCTCCTCTGAGAAGCCCTCCCTGACCCCTCCTTCCTACCCCAGGAATTAATCATTTCTCCGCCTGGGCTCCAATGACACTGTGTATTTGCTTCTTTTAAACGCTGAACACATTGTATCCTGGTTATGTCTGTGCCCCCAACCAGGCCATCAGCCTTCTGAGTGAGACGTGTGCCAGTAATTTCTGTTTCTGCTCCCGGCCCAGGGCCTGCCTCACCAGAGGTGCTCAGCCAATCCTGGCTGAATTACATGGGACTCATTCCCCTCCCCCCAGGTACTCCCAAATAACCCTTGAAACAATCTGTTCTAGAATTTTCTTGGCCCTGGTGCCATGTTTGCCTGTCTGCAAGTTTCTGAATCTACTTTTTTCTTCTTCCCATCACCGTATCCATCTCTCCTGGGCCCCTGCTGAAACCTTCTTCCCTATCCAACGAACCTTACCCTCTCCCTTCCACCCTAGTCACCATGATTGGCAAATAACGAAAGAGGATGGTAAACAAATTTATCGAGCACCTCTGACGTGCCAGGCAGTTACATTATTAACACAACATCATTGTGAAGTGGGTATCAGCTCCATCTGACAGATGAGAAGACTGAGTCTCAGAGAGGTTAAGTAACTCAGAAGTTACGCTGTCGTGGCTGATGAGACGTGGTCCTTACACCTCATGGAGGAGACAGACACGTGGAAGTCCCCCTGGAGGTCAGGGGTTCGATAGTGTTAGAGGGCAGACATCCGTACGAGCCTCAGCGGCACAGAGCAGAGAGGAGGGCATTCCAGAAGGCTTCTAAGAGAAGGTGACCCTTGACATGAATCTTGAGAGATGACGGCTTGACCAGGCCGATGGGGGAGGGGATGGGTGGGCAGACGGAAGGCCCTTGGTGAGCAAAGGAGACAGTGGTCAGAGAAGAGAAAGCTGCTGAGGCCCACGGAGCCCAGACCCTGAAGGGCCTCCAACACTGAGCCAAGGATCTGGACCTTTATCCTGTGGGCAGCAGGAGCCCCTGGGGTAGGAGTGGGGTTTAGCCAGGGGAAAGTCAGGCTCAGCGATTGTTCCAGAGAGATCTCCCTGGTGGCAGCGTCGAGGATGCACTGGGCAGACTGGAGTCTCCACGACCTG